TTGTTAAAGCCAGCCACTTGTGGTATCTCTATTATAGCAGCACTAGATGACTAAGACAGGCATTAATGAATAATTTTAAGTACTGCTCTCTCTACAGTGAAAGCAAGTGAATTTAACTATCAGATAATAAATCCTTTTTGCGATAGGTAGTTAGTAATCATTTGTTTTTAACACATTTGAAGGAGGATGTCATCATTTAGGTTGTCCCCAAAGAAGAGCCTGAGACAAGGACTTGTGTACGAGTACCTCATTGGGAAAAGATCTCAGGAAGCAGAAATAAGGAATGAAGAGAACCTACTATAATCAACCGGGACTTGATTCCACTGAAATGTCTGAGAATTGTCCATCTGAATGGCATCAGGCTGGGGCTTTAATCAATCAGTCCCTGGTTACCCCTGGGGACGTTAATTCCCCCATATTTCCAACATACATTGATTGGTGAGCTAAGCCAGTAGCCTTGACTTCAGAAAAGTCCCAGGGAAGAAGATAGACACATAGACCATGTTTTGAGGTGAGAGGGACGGTGTCCAGCTGATTCTGAACGTCCAAGGGATTGCCTACAACCTCTGCAGCTTACATCAGAGGGTAGGTCTGGAGGCCAGACATGGAGCCTAAAAAACATTCACTTGAATTCAAATGCTGGATCCAGTAGCTGTATGATTTCATATGTGTCTCCATTATCCCATAAGTAATGTAGCAATAATAATAGAACTTTCTTCATAGTGTTGTAGTGAGGATGAAAAGAATCAATCTTCTCATCAGAGAGCCTGTCAAATTGTGAACACTAAAATACTTTCATCATTATATTTCAGTTTTTGTCCAAAGGAGGATTTATTCTCAGAACAGGGTCTAATCTGGAAGTGACTCCCATCCAAAATAAAATAACGATAGCTTTCCCCATTACTAGAATTAGTCAAAAACATCGACATTAGAACAAAGAGTTAACTTGTCAAAACACTTATATTCAGATTAGTGAGAGAAAAAGAGAACACAGCTGTTGTGTGCCATAGAGACGATTCCAACTACAGCAACCCTCTAGGACAAAGTAGGGTTTCCTAAACTGTAAATCTTTACTGGAGTGGATTGCCACATCTTTTTCTCCCGCACAGCGGCTGGTGGGTTCAAACTGCTGATCTTTTGGTTTGCATCCAAGTGCTTAACTATTGTACCACCAGGGCTCCTTAGAGAGCATAGAGTGTACCAATAATATAGACATTCCTGAGGCACAGCAAAGACATTAAGTGTGTTGGAAACAAGCAGGCTTTCTCTGCAATATGACTGACTGATGGGCCATATTAATATGAGTTATGAGCAAATGTACATGCAAACACCAAATTGCCTAATACAAAAAACTAATGTCTCTATGTAAAAGAACATACGGCATGAAGAAAATTATTTGTATAGTCAAAACATTATAAAAAGAAAAAGTAGCCTAGCAAAAACAAACATTATTATCATAGTCCCTTACTTCATGAAAAGTAACTAGAATTCAATATCAAATTTCCACTTTACAGAGTTCATTGCATAATATTTATAGTTTATTGAACATATTAGTGCTAAGATCATATTTATATTTCTTATTTTGATGTATATGTTGGTCTTTTTCAGCTAATGCTTTCACTGTCTTTTACATTCCCTATTAACTGCCCGCTCCTGTTGATTCTCAACTAGGAGTATATATCAAAATCAATGGGGACCTTCTTTTTAAATTATGTATGCCTGGATTCTGTCTCTGGAGATTCTAATTTAGCAGATGTAGGATGGATTTCAGTCTGCCAATTCTGTAACAGAAATGCTATAGATAATTCTATGTGCACTGTTGAGAAGTGCAATTTTTAATGGATGTCTAAGTGTGACTTACTTGACTTTTGTGGCCAAGATCCTAATATGCAGAGTGACAAAACCACATAAGAAGCCTCCCTTATAGAATGTGGCCTAGCTGGGCTTATTTGTGCCTAAGTCTGCACTCCTTGCATAGTGTTTAGGCCTTGAGAAAATTGAACAGCAAAGTGTTAATACTCATCCCAACCCCATCCAATTCCAGAAACCTAAAAGTCAGAGAATTAAGAATATATATGTAGTCAAGCCAATATAATGGAAAAGTCATTTATTCAACAAATATCTAATAAAAACCAATAAATGTAATGTATTTTCACCTTAACTAATACAAAGTAGAATAATACTTTCTGCCTTCAACAAACTTACAATCTAGAAGGGGAGGAAAAATAAGTATAATATGGGAAAGCTCGTGATAAATATCATAAGAATGATAAAAAGATGGTTAGATGAAAATCCAGAGGTGGAAAAAGTGGTTTTAGTTAGGTGAATGAGGTAAAGCATTACAGGGGGAAAAAATTACATTTGAACAGGATCTGGAAAGTAGCTGGAGTTTTTACCAGTATAGATGGATATAAAGGGAATTTTAAATTCAGAAATTACCACAAAGAAGTGAATATGGGAAATTGAAAACTACTCAGAGAATAAAATACTGTTCAACTTATCTGTCAATGGGAGTAGTAAAAAATAAGATAAAATAATTTGAAGCCAGCTTTTGGAGAACTTTGTGATTTAGCCTGTGAATAATGAAAACCATTAATAGCTTTTGAGTAGAGAAATAACAAAATCAAAGTTATATTTTAATAATTATTAAGGACCAACATAGTCGGGCTAAGAGGTAATAAAGATCTGGATAATCTCTTTTTCCTCCTTAGTCTCTCAGTGTGAGGAGTTTGCTTTTAGATGTGACTCAAACAATTTGTGGTCAACAGGTCAGTGTTCCTAGGGCACGGACGCCTGATCTCTCAATTATCTTACACTACATGGTGTCAGCATTCATTTCTACCTGGGAGAATTAATCATACCATGTAAACTGTAAATACCTTAAAGTAAAAATGGAAGTAAATGAAAGTAAATGCTTATCACATATTAGTTGGGAAGTCACATGTTCTCTGAAGTATTTCAATCAATTGACTTAAATAGTAATAGATCTTGCTCTTTTCCTTCATATATACAGAATTCTGCCATGCTAAGGAGCCCTACTGGTGCAATGATTAAGAATTAACTGACAAAGACCAACCTATACACCAAAATAGAAATATAACTATGATCTTAGCTCTAATGTGTTTGATAAACTATAAAGATTATGCAATGGACTCTTTAAAGTTGCTGCTAATAGAAAGGTTGGCTATTCAAGTTCATCCAGTGGCTCTGCAGAAGAAAGATCTTGTGATCTGTTCCTGTAAAGATTAAAGCCTAGAAAATCACATGGGAAAGTTCTGCTTTGTCACATGGGGTCACTATGAATGGAAATTGACTCAACGGCCCCTAACTACAACTATAACAGCCCTTCTAAAAAGTCATTTCTAATTCCTCCAAATTTTATTGTCAATGTCCTATACCTTAGCATTTCCCTCTCCTGGCTTTCCACTTATCACCTCTGTATCCTCCAACCCATCAATGATGACATTTGAAATGTTTCTCAACTTTATGTCCAAACTTTTGGTGTCTTACACTGTGTCTTACGGTTCTCCAAATTGTATCTTCTGGAAACTCCTTGGAATCCATATTCCAGATGGGCAAGCTATTTGTAAATAATGATGCCTCAAAAAAGTTGTCACGACTCTTTACTGATTCCTCAGAGAACATGTAATCATTAACTTTTTAAAGATTCATAGGCCTGGAGGAGAACTTTTCTAATGCTATAGAGGCCAAGTCCCAGGTGAATGTGATGGAGAAAGTGTCTTCTTAATCTTTGTGCAGTAATAAAACTCTCTATTTAGGTGGAGACAGAGCATATGGTTTGTCAAACAGCTCTGTTAGAGATTTTATCCAGATCAAAGCCATGATAATTTCATCTTTTGAGCATTGCTGAGGGTCATGACACCCCTGTGTCTATCCCCTTTCATTCCATAATTTCTTAATGCCGATTTCATGATGCTCCTGGTTTAGGGCATTTTAAAATACATGTTGCTGAAAGAAGCACAAACATAGCTTCCACTTAATCATTCTAAAAGACTCCCCTGAGTGCTAGAGTGGAGAGTATGTTGGAGGAAGAACTCCTTTTGAAAATTTTGTGTTTTCACCCAGAATGTAAGTGCTCATGACTTCCGGAGCTCCTATCCCTGCCTGTCACCAAACAAAAAAATTCAGGGAACCTTCATCTCGGATACCTTTTCCATGAGAATGTGAAATGAAAGAAGTTTACTTATGACAAAAGAAAGTATTTGACTTTTGTCACCCAGCCTCTGTAGTGAAAATTTTTAATTTTACATAAGCATGTAAGAAAAGTCAATCCTGAATATTTAGGGGGAAAAATCATCAAAAAAAATAAAGCCTCATACCTAGCTTTCCTTTTGCAAACTTCTGTAAAAGTGAAAGATTAAGCATAAACTTAAAGTCATTGTTATCTACAGAGGGTATTGCAACATTGCAACCTTGAAAGTCAATGTTTGTAAGTAATATTATGCAATTACGTTTTTATGATGTTTATGCTAACAGCAACAGCAGCAAAAAGTCAGCTATATCAGCTTTAAAGGATTTGTTGCCAACTTACTCTACGTTATATACATTTCCTTTGCACCTTTATATGGTATATTAGGTGATATCTTTAACTGAGATGTAGATAGTCATATTACACTTAAAACCTCTTTTCCTGAGTCTATTGCATTATAGGATGAGTTTATGTAAGAAGCTAATACATTTATTAAGTGATAACTTTGTGCTCAATTCTATCCAGAAATTATCATGAATCAGTTATAAAATGAATTTAACTTTACCTAGTTCTATCATGGTAGCATAGCAAGGGAGAGGTTTAGAAATAGGCAAAAGTTTGTTTCTGTGCAGACATCTACCTGTTGTGCCCTAAATTCAGAATATATGGCCAAGAAAAGTTAAACTAAATTCTCTTTTTAACTGATGATTCTTTTGGAAAATGACATGTTCATTGCCTTCCCTTCATTCTTAAAAATGAACACATTTTAAACTAGCCATAACTGATAACAATGTGTCTCTCAACTTTGCGGATTACTGACCCAATGAATATCTCCAAGCCAGATTCCAGTTCTGCTTTTGTGAGTGAATTTATACTCGTAGGTTTCTCTTTTGAGTGGGAGGTTCAGATCTTCCTCTTCTCACTCTTCACTACAACACATGTTCTGACTATAACAGGAAATGGGGCCATCATTTGTGTGTTGTGGTGTGACCAGAGACTTCGCACCCCTATGTACATGTTCCTGGGGAATTTCTCCTTTCTAGAGATCTGGTACGTCTCCTCTACAGTGCCCAAGATGTTGGCCAACTTTCTCTCAGAGACGAAGACCATCACCTTTGCTGGATATTTCCTCCAATTCTATTTCTTTTTCTCTTTGGGCACATATGAATGCTTCGTTTTGGCTGTCATGGCCTTTGATCGGTACCTTGCTATCTGTCGTCCCTTGTACTACCCTAATATCATGATGGGGCATCTCTGTGCCAAACTAGTCATTGTCTGCTGGGTTTGTGGATTTCTGTGGTTCCTGGTCCCCATTGTTCTCATTGCTCAGATGCCCTTCTGTGGTCCAAACATTATTGACCATGTTGTATGTGATCCAGGGCCACTATTTGCATTGGCATGTGCCTCTGCCCCAACAACCCAACTGGATTGCTACACTCTAAGCTTATTAGTTATCTTTGGTAACTTCCTCTTCATCCTTGGGTCCTATATTCTTGCCCTATTAGCTGTGTTATGTGTGCCTTCAGCTACCGGGAGGCGTAAAGCCTTCTCAACCCGTGGGTCCCATTTGGCTGTGGTATCACTGTTCTATGGCTCCCTGATGGTAATGTATGTGAGCCCAGGACTTGGACATTCTGCTGGGATGCAGAAAGTCGCAACCTTGTTCTATGCTATGGTGACCCCACTCTTCAACCCTCTCATCTACAGCCTCCGGAATAAGGAAATGAAGGCAGCCCTGAGGAAAGTTCTGGGGAGTTCCAACATAAATTAAGTCATACTACATGATTCCTCCATGATTAGGTCAGTATAGTCTAACAAAAAATAATCAGAGTTACACAGTTATCCAAATCTTCAAATATGAGTCTAGTGATATTGATCTGATTAACTTATTAAATTAAGCATTTATAGGACCATTTACAATCATCAAATGGCCAGATTATGCAGGTAAATTGAACTGTTGGATTCTTTTTGGCACTCCAATTGTGTATTAATTAAAGAATATACACATTTGGGTGTTTTTTTGGATAGTTTTTATATGGCTCATCAGGCGATAAAAATTCCTATTTCTATTTGATAATTTAAATTTACTAAAATTATAACTGTCATTTTGTTTGTTTAGTTGGTTGTTTGTAAATAAAAGAAAAAAAACCTTATATATTTTCTGATTGTTGTTCTTATATTTGACTCTATTATATGGGTGATATGGTCATTCTTGATAAACCCTTAGAAAGCAATTTATCCAAAATTTCTACAGGATAATAATAATATTCTAGCCTAATGACATCCATCCATATGTTGTTTTCTTTTCATGTTACCTCATTTTAAGCTCCTAAAAGGCAGTTCTTAGTTCCATGTGTAATAACACCAGTCAAAATATTGAGAAATGTAGTATTATGTTTATCTAATATTTTTACCTAAACGAGGTATCACCAAAAACTTGATGGATCAGTTAACTGAGTTTTTGATGAGAGTATCTTCCCCTAAAAATTGGAAAGGAAAATAGTTCACTTGGGGATAAATTATTTGCATTAAATTTGTTGCTGAACAGTAACATAGTTATTTGTTCATTGTTGCTGAACAATAAATTTGTTGCTGAACAATATTATGATAACATTAAGGAAAATTTTAAAGCAAAAATGCATCCATAATTCAATCACTCTAACACAACTATTTTATTTTACCGTGTCTGTTTTATTTAACATAATGCAAACTTATTTTCTTGTATGAGTTTTTATGATTATCATTTTTAGGAGCTAAACTATTTCATGTTTAGTAAGATTACTAAACACTCCCACATCCTCCTTCCATCTACCACCAATCTTTTTATTGGACCTTAAAGTTGTTTACACTTGTTTTCTATAAAAAAAGAAATATCAGTACAATCTTCATGAAGATTTGCCATGATGATATTTTGCAAACCTAAATTAGGACTCATCATCTAATCCAAAAACAGAATTCTCCCAGAAAATCCAGAATTTAAGAATGCAATATGCATGTAACAGTTTTCCTTTTAGCATTGTTATCTTATAACAATTTCCTGAGAAACAGATGGATTATTCAGTTCAAAAGGTAGGAAAGTATTTGCGAGTTTTGGCACGGACATCCCAGATAGAAAAACTATCTGTTCCTTTGATGTGAGAAGTTGTCAAGCCTGTTAGTCAATATTACTTATCAGAACTCCACCATATCTCTCTCACTTATACAGTCCGTTGAGGGATGTTTCGTAACTCTATATCCCCTTCCGAGGGCATATGGTGTTTAAGTTTCCCGAGCTCAGATCAGTAAAGGGTTCAAGAAGAACAAATAGTCAAGGTCACTAATATTTCCATCATAATCTCAGCATTCCCTCTCTTCAGTTACTAAATTAGTATGTTTCTGCAGCCACTAGCTTTTCAATTGTCTTTTCTTATCACCTTAGACACTATGCTTGGTTCACAACTCTTTCCATAGTATTAAATTATTTGACCTAACACTACAATTTATATACGAGATTTTATCAAAGCCTAACTGCATCTCAAAAAAAGGGAAGGAGGGCAAAGAGAGAGAGAGAGTTAGGAATAACAGTAAGAATATAGTGTTCTTTTCTCTCCAAGTACTTAAAATTTTAATAGAACTAAGCAAGGTGATATTTAAAAATAGGTGCTGGTTAGTGGTTTCCTTAGGGGAAATGAAAAGAGAAGTCAATATTTTCTACTCTCCACTATAAGTCATGGTGCTTATTAGCTGCCTTTAAACCTGTGTTAAGCTGACCAAGCATTGAATCTACCTCAATTACGACTAATTCCTTCACAAAATAAAATGTATTTATATAACAAAACACTGTTTATTGTTGTATTTCAGGAAAAATGTAGGGTGCACAGGAAAACAATATTACAAGAAAAGACAGAATGAAATTGTTAAGGTCTAAGAAGTTTAGATTTGCAAACTCACCACCACACTGTTTGCTCTTATTGACAATATTGAAAGGAATAATAATTAACATTGTGAACCACTTATTTTGTGCCAGCCATTGTTCTAACCAAGTGCTTTACATGTATTACTTCATTTAATACTCATGACAACCCAAAGAGGTTAGGTCAGTACTATTATATCTCCAATTTACTGAGGATGAAACAGACATAAGGTAGAACTTCCTTTAGTTGGAAATGGTATCTGATCTCAGGCAAACTAACTCCAGAGCCCACACTCTTTACTACTATACACGAAAAGTGTCAACACTCTGGAATCAGACAATTTGTTTTCAAATATAAATTCTATCACTAACTGTGTGAGCTTGTGCAAATTATTTAACCTTTTTATCTATAAAATGGAGCTAGTGATAATACTTCCATCACAGAGTCACTATGAGTAAACGAGGTAAATCTGAATAGCACCTTATACATAGTATTATGGAATTGATTAATATTATCAATGGACTTATTATTATCTTTAGTAATATGATCTTTCATTATATTATCTCTTAATATAAATATTGTTAATATTATCAGTATTATCTTTCATCTGTAAAACTAATGTATATTATTATTTTTCATTTGTGAAGCTCTTTATCATTTACAAAGTACTTTGGCATACTGTCTCAGTCCATCCTCACAAAAACTCTGTAACATAATTAGGGTAGATAGTCTCGTGCTCATCTCATAGATGAAATACAAAGAAATCAAGTGCATTGTCTGAGGTCACACAAATAGTAAGTGAAGGAACCAGTTCTGCTGACTTCAAGTTCAGTAAGATTTAAGTTCTGTACCATAGTCTTCCCTGGGACTATGGTTATGTCTCATGTAACTACCATCAGAAAAACTTCGTGACCACGCAGGCCAAAGAGCTGGATATATCCGAGAAAAGAATATTGTAAAGGAGAAATGAATGTAGGAGACATGCTTGTAAGGAATTTCTTTTCTATTATTTTAACACAGTAAGTACACAAATTATAAGAAATATTTAAGATGTAAAATGTTTATTATGTTATTAAGTGGAAAAGACAGACCATGGAACACTATAATTATATAATCTTAATTCAAATATAGAGTGATAGTATTACATGTGATTTAAATTTATTTTTTCCCCTTTTATGTTAATAGATATTTATGTAATTTTTCCATGATAAACGTGTACTTTATCCAATTTGCAAAGGATGAAGAATTAAAAATTTAATGATTGGAAGGGGATGTAAAATTTAGAGCAACACTTTTAGACACATAACTGTGTCTTTCCTCTTTTTGCACATAAGGAAAAGATAATGCTACTGTGTTTGCTAAGCCTCATAGCTTGAGCCTTTCAAAGACTTTTCCATGTGGGATCACTGTGGAGAGGAATACTTTTGGCTCCCTGGTGCTTATATCTCACTCAGAATCAGCTCTTTCTCTAAAGGTTCTTGGCAGAAAATTCTGGCTTTACAGTTCTGGTACTAGATGCTTGGAACAGAAAGAAAAGAGTGGAAGTGGATGGATATACCACACGATCAAGTGAATTTCCAATGAATCTTCCCAAACAGGAAAATTTTCCTCAGGGACGTTCCAGCTACAAGTTTGTACCTCTCACCCAAGCTCCCTGCTTACAACTCTTCAAGAGCCAATTTTCATAAAAAGAGAATTTGAATAATCATGCCTTGGACACCTATCAGCTTTTTATTTCTTTTTTCTTTTAACATATTTCAAATGTCCATCCCTTTTAAAGAAATAAGCCATTTATCTATCCAGACATACTTTAAATCATCCTAGCAAAAACAGTCATTTTTTAAAAATGGACATTCAGCTTATTCTCCAAAGAAGCAAAGAATACAGAACTTATAAATTTGAATAAATAATTATTTTTTTATTAAATACTCCATTTTCTCCACACTTTACCCACTTGAGTAATGGAGGCAAAGAAGAAACTCAACATCTACCCAAGAACCAGAATCCCCATATACATTAAACTTAGATTCAGCTGCATATAATAGAAAATCCAAGTAACAGCAGTTTATGCAGTATAAAGATTTAGTTTTTTCTTGCTTAAAATCATCTAGAGGTAGGCAGTCGATGGCAGTCCAGAGGGAGACAATTCCAAGATGCCATCAGGGACCCAGGCTTTCCTAGCTTTTTGATCTATTTTTCTTGCCATTAGGGACCCAGGCTTTCCTAGCTTTTTGATCTATTTTTCTTATCACGTTTCCATTCACCAGGTCACTTTATTATCTAAGGAGGGCAATTGAAGCTTCAGGCAGAAGGAAAGAGGTCAACCTATATTCCATTTGTATTTTTTTATTGAACAGAAGTGTGTCACATAACATCCTTCTCTTTTACAAAGGTAGCTATGTTTAACTTTTTAAACTGGGCACATTATTACCAGGATAGAATTGATAATTAGGTAGGAAGATTAGGAGAAAAAAAATCAATATTAAGCATGCAGCTAACATAGTCTACCACCAATGTATTGAGCATAAAATAAGGAAGTAAAATATAGTGATGGAAATTTAGAATTAACCCATTATATCAATGTCCCACTTTAGGAAGCTGGTGCTCCTCTTAAACAAATCTTTATATTTGATTAAACAGCAAGAAAGACAGATTTAGTGGATAGAAGGGCATCGAAAGACAAAAATATTAATAAGCAAAAAATTGAAACATTATAGAGACTAAGATTTTAATCACAGCTCGTGAATATATAGAAAAAATAAACATAAGTTTGTTTCCCCAATGTTTAAACAGAGCAAAAGTATCTTATCTGGTACTTGAAAAATGAATGCTTGAGACAAGAGATAAAACAGCTACTTTAATGTGTCCATATCAAGCTTATATAATGGTTACTCAAAGAAGCCCCCCAAGAAGTCTAGGTCAATTGGCATAACAAAGTTTATTAAGAAAATGTTCTGCATCCTACTTTGGTGAGTGGCATCTGGGGTCTTAAAAGCTAGTGAGCCACCATCTAAGATGCATCAATTGGTCCCAACCCACCTGGAATAAAGGAGAATGAAGAACATCAAAGCTGCAAGGCAAGTATTAGCCCAAAAGACAGCAAGGGTCACATAAACCAGAGACTGCACCAGCCTGAGACTGGAAGAACTAGATGGTGCCTGGCTACCTCCAATAACTGCCCTGACAGGGACACAACAACAGTCCCTGATGGACCAGGAGATAAGTGGGGTGCAGAACTCCAATTCTAGTAAACAGACCAGACTTAATGGTCCGACTGAGACTGGAGGAACCCCAGAAAGCATGGCCCCTGGAATCTCTGTCAACCTAGAACTAAAACCATTCCCAAGGCCAGCTCTTTAGGCAAAGATTAGACTGGACTATGGGACATAAAATGATACTCATGAAGAGTGTATTCCTTAGCCCAAGTAGATACATGAGACTAAATGGGCAGCTCCTGTCCAGAGGTGCAATGAGAAGGCAGAGAGGGTCAGGAGCTTGTTGAATGGACATGGGAAATCAGAGGTGGAAAGGAGGAGTGTGCTGTCACAGTATAGGGAGAGCAATTAGGGTCACATAACAACGTATGTATAAATTTTTGTATGAGAGACTAACTTGAATTGTAAACTTTCACTTACAGTACAACAGTAAAAAACAAGAAGCTCCCCCCTACAAAAAAACTCACTGCCACTGAGTCAATTCCAACTCATAGCAACCCCATAGGGTTTCCACAGCTGTAAATCTCTACGGAAGTAGACTGCCACATCTTTCTCCCGTGGAGCTGCTGGTGGTTTTGATAAGAACAGAGGCAGAAAAACAAAAATACTCAAAAAGGCTTTCAGTTAAGTCAAACATTTTAAAAGTCAGAGTTGAGGGACCCTCTGACTTTTATTACCCAGTCCTGGCTCTGATTTTACCACCTCCTTCCTAGAAGTTTCTAGATGGCCCATATCATCTGGAAAAGAAAATTCTCTGTTCAGAGTCTGCTTTTCACTTTCTTCTCCCTTCAGCTATACTTTGATGGTCCAGTTCCCTATGATAAGACTTTGAGTTCCTCTTTAATCTTCCTGCTACAAAGGAACTTAATATTAGGACTCTGGGAGAACTAGAGGAGGAAAGGGTAGAAATGTTGGAGCTGGCTGGGGTTGGTGTTATCATGAGGAAGCAAACTCTCCTGGAAAATGGAGAAGCAGCTTGTTCTTTAGACCTCAGGAGGATGTGATAGAAAAGTAGTGAGAACTGAAATATCTGAGTCAGACTGGAAAAGAGGAAAAATGAAATAGAAAAAGTTGAGTTGGGAGGGAAAAGAAAGAGAAATGTGCAGTTGGGGAGAAGTTAAGAGTTTCACAAAGTGTTCTCCTCTTTCCCCTGGCATTTCCCACCTTTGATATAATGACAGGAGCATCACACCTATGTGTGAGGCACGGTACAAGCCACTGTGGAGGACAGAATCACAGAAGAAAAGGCTTTTGCCTCTTTGCTACAACAGAAGGCAAGAGATAATCCTTCTGACTCTGACTCTGCTGATGTCCTCTCCTCTGTTCAAAGGTAAGTAGACTGCTGTTCCAGTGCCAGGTAAGCTTTGTGGACAAGGTAGAAGAGCAAATAATGAAAATTGACAGGGAGGAAAGTAAAAAAAAGGATCATCTCCCCTATATAGAGATGCTGGCCAACTCTAGGGAAGGTCAGGGACCAGGAGCTAGGCAGGGGCTAGGCAGGACTTCAGGAGAATATTTAGGTTAAGGTTTACCAGAATTTACCCTGCCAAATGAGCGACTGTCATTTGTAGACAATTTAAGTGATGCCTCTGAGTAATACTGGTAATTCCTGGGGACAAAGGATTATCCCTGGCCTTTGATCCTCCTCCACAGCCCAGGATTACTATGTTTTCCTAAATCTCAAGGTGACTGTGTCTCATTGGTCTGAGATCTCATAATTAATCCAGCCCTTAAAATCTGCCTAGATACTAGAATAGAGAGAAAAGTTCAAGGATAACATGGCACATTATTTGCACTGTTGGAGGCTGGAGGGCAGCTCAAGAAATAGCCCTTCAAAAATGCAAGGGACTAGCCATGGATATAGAATGATGTATTAGTAGGTATGCCTGGGTGATGCAAACTGTGAATGCACTCAGCTGCTAACCAAAAGGTTGACAATTTATGTTCACCCAGAGGCTTCTCCAAAGAAAGCCCTGGCAACCTACTTCCAAAAAATCAGCCACTGAAAACTCTATGGAACACAGTTCTACTCTGACACACATGGGGTCACCATCTACTTGAAAGCAAACGGCTTTATTATCAGGTGTATTGAGTAAAGGCTATAATGAAGCTGATGGTTTTGCAAGGTTGAGTCATCTAGATAATGAATTCCCAGGCTCTTCTCCTCAGACCGCTCCTCTGAAGTCTGAGGCATGTATGGACTGTGAAGCTATAGCAGCTGCAGGCTTACTTCTTGAGGAAAAGCTGCTTCAGTGCTTCTAACACAAGCTTTATAGTGATTACAGACATGTGGCAGACTAGGAGACTCAAGTTGTTCACACTCATGCACCCCTCCCTGCCAGTAGAGAGACAGTGGAGACAAAAACATGCCCTTTAATGCCAAATCCTTCTTTTGTGAAAGGCATGAGTTACTGAATAAGCCCAAACTCTCCCAGAAGAGCAATGCCTGTCACTTATAGTATAGCTGACACCTATCTCTCTGCACCCATTATGGGGATGGCGCAGGACTGGGAAGCATTTTGTTCTGTTGTGCATGGGGTGGCCATGAATCAGGAGCTGACTCCATGGCACCTGACAACATGCCCAAGAGTACCAGTCTAGTCTCCTGCCTCTTTCCATCTTTTTAGGAATATAGATGGGGGATGTATGATTACTGCCCATCTCATAATGGAGAATTGGAGGCCTTATAAAGGAGAGGAACAAATAAGCAGTGAGAAAATGCTCAATGCTACCTCCAGCCCAGTGTTCTGATCACAAAAATAGCAAGACTTCATGTTTCCATTGTTTTTCAACTTCTTCATTTCCCTCCTTTCTTTCTCTACTGTACACTTACTTTGTTTCCCTGAACTAACTTTCGAGGCTTTCTTTATTTTCCCTAACCTCAACAGTAGAATTGACTTGAAATGTTTCCCTAGTCCTGCCTGAAGACAACTGTAGCGGAGAGAACGCCAAACTTAAAGGCAGAACACCTGGACTGTTGCCCCAGCTCTCATTTTCTACTTCTATGTCCTCAGCCAAGTTGCTTAACTTCTCTGACATTCAGTTGCCTCATTGGTAAAATAAGGATAATGATATTGGGGCCACACGTCTCGTGGTTAAAGATCAAATTAGAGTATAGGTCAAGGTCTTCTCATGTGTGCATCATCACCACTTTTCCCCTCCAGTCCATTCTGTTATGAGACTAGTGTATTTGCTGCCTAGTCTTGGAAGTAGCCCACTCAAAATCTGAGGGCTTCCTCCCAAAAAACTCAGAAACCTGAGCTAGCAACCCGAAGAAAGAAGATTGGAGAGTGTCACCATTTTCTCTGCTGAGATCTATCCTGAGTCACGAGCTTTTACTGCTGGCCCTTCTCTGTCGCCATCTTCACTGGCTCTGTACCTGCAGGGAGGATCACAGGAGTGTGCACAACCTGAGTCCTCCAGTCAGCCAAGTGTCTCCTTTGTATCTTAATCACAGAACTATGTCTCCAACATGTTGCAGAACTCCCCAAGGTGTTAGATGGGTCAGAAGGGCTTAGGCTGGGATTGCCGGCTTTGGTAGGACTGACATCTATCTTTTTTTCTCCTCCTTCCCTAGAATCAGTACCAAGGATGGAATGACCTTTGCTCCTTCCCTAGAAGCAGTACCAAGGATGGAAAGACCTTTGCTGTCCTCCACTCTCCTTTCTCTCTTGATGAGCCTAGGCTTGGGCTGGGCATGGAGTACCCCTGATTGCACTATAGCAGACAGCTCCCTCTTATCTAACATCTCCTACTACATCCCATTCTGTTCCTTGGCACCAGGACTGCACCTTTTTGCATCATGCTCCAATGTTAGTGACTTGGCTCAGACCCTGACAGCACTGCCCAGGAGATTAGACGCACTATGCCTCCAGGGCACAGTTCCTGTCCTACCAGCTGATGCTTTTGGGCAGTTCCCTACACTACAGCTGCTGAAGCTGCATCTGGGCACTGTGAGAATTACATCTGGAGCATTTCAAGGATTGGACCAGCTGCAGTACCTTTTCTTTGAGCATCCCAGTCCCTGTTGCCTGAGTCTACTCTTCCCTCCAGATGCCCTCAAGCCCCTCATATTCCTCAACAGCCTTTCATTCCAAGGCTATTGCCTGAATTCTAGTCAGAACATCCAGTTGCCTCTCAGTCTTAGTCGTCTGACTCTGAGGCACAGCTGTCTGACAGATCTGCAGGAATTGCAAGGACTCTTCCCTAGCCTTGTGCTTGGTTCCTCTCCTACAGCCATCTCTAGCCCATGGCCTGCATTCCTGGAGGTGCTAGATCTCTCTGCCAACCCGCAGCTGAGTCGGGTTGGTGTCAAAGCTTTGCATGGCCTCCAGCTTCATTCTCTGAGACTGGATGGCACCCCTCTAAGTGTATCAGAGCTCCTTGGCTCAGGACTGCTTCACCTGAATTCCCTCTCCCTTGTGGGTACAGGTACAGAAAAACTGCCTGGGAATGTGACAGCCTACTTTGAGCTTTCTGCGCTCGACCTTGGGAGGAACCAAATCCAGAACATAGGGAATGAGGACCTCTCAAGCTGCCGCTCCCTAGAACGCCTCAGCCTTCATGCCAATGGTCTGCATTCACTGCCCACCAGATTCTTGAGTGCCTTGCCCCAGCTTCAAAGGCTTAACCTGTCAATGAACAAGCTGGGTCCAACCTTAGTGCTCCCAGAGGGGCTGGTCAGCTCAAGTCTGAGAGTGCTAGATCTGTCCCACAATGAGCTCAGTGCCCTGCCCTCTGGGGCCTTCTCTTCTCTTCCTCAACTCAAGGAGCTTTGGCTGGGTGGTAACAACATCTCCAACTTATCCAGTGAGGCCCTAGAGGGACTGAGGTGGCTGAAGACCCTAGATCTGAGTTGGAACCAAATTAAGGTGCTGAAGCCAGGCTGGCTCTCCTCCCTTCCTGCTCTCATCTCACTGAACCTCCTGGGCACCCATATAGAGAATTTCTCTGGCCTGCTGCTCCAGGGTCCCAAAAAGCTGACCCATCTGTGGCTGGGTTCTCCTGATATCCTGGAGCTCTACCCTCCCTGGCCTTTGACACTGCTCAGCTTAGAGGTATGGGCACATACGTACGTCGAGTTTAGGGTCCCCCAAGGAGAACCCTTCCTGTTCTTGGAGAACCTTACCTTACAAGCGTCCTATGTGTTGCTGCAACCAAGCAACAATACAGTCCATTTCCCTTCCCTGCGTCACCTCACCCTGCGAGGCTGCAGCCCCATTATTTTCTCTACCCACAAATCCCAGGGATTCTTCCCACAGCTGCCTTCCCTGGAGCATCTGCACTTCTGGTCTAATCATGAGGGTACAGAAGGCCTACAACTGTTTGGGTTGCCCAGGCTGCGAGTGCTGGAGCTGGGGGGCCTGGACTGCCTCTCTGCATCAAGACCAACAGATCTGGAGGTGCTACTGGAGAATCTGCCTCAATTAGAAGTGCTGGCACTGAGCAACCTGAACTTTGGGAACCTCTCAATCTCCAGCTTCAGGGGCTTGGGCCTCCTCCGGCTGCTGCTGCTGAACTCTGAATGGGCCCTGGGGCTGGACAGCAGCCTCCAGGAATTCATCCCCCAGATGCCTCAGTATGTTTATTTCTCAGATGTCATTTTCATCTGCCAGTGTGAAAGCTCTTGGGTAGGGCCTTGGGCAACACAGGCCCCAAATACCTTTGTGTATGGGCTAGAGAAATCTATTTGCATGGCCAATGCCTCTGACTATTTCAAGACTCCATTGCTCTCTTTCCTTTCTGGTAACTGCCCAGATAATCTTGAGCTTCAGAGCTTTCTAACCAGCTTCACTCTGGTGCTCCTGCTGATCATTTTTGCTTTGCTTGGCTGCCCTAAATGGCCCTGGCTCCACCACCTCTGGACCCTATTTCATGCCTGGTTGTGGAAGGTGGGTGGCTGGAACCACAGAAGCCAATACCACTATGATGTCTTTATATCCTATTGCAGTCAGGACCAAGACTGGGTGCTGGCAGAGCTGATTCCTGCCCTGGAAAAGCCTCTTCCAGCTGGTGAGGGCTTGAGGTTATGCCTACCAGAGAGGGACTTTGGGGTTGGGCAGGACAGGATGGAAGCAATGGCTGCCAGCATAGACAGCAGCAAAGCCACCCTATGCGTGCTCAGCCGCCAGGCCCTGGGCAGTCCCTGGTGCAATCTAGAGTTAAGGCTCGCCACCTACCACTTGGTGGCCAAGCCTGGGACTACTCGCCTCCTGCTGCTCTTTCTGGAGCCTATTGATCGGTGGCAGCTGCGTAGCTACCACCGCCTTGCCAGGTGGCTTCAGAAGGAGGATTACTTGGATTTGCCCCGAAAGAGTGCAGACTTGGAAGCTTTCTGGGACCAACTTCGGAGAACGCTAAGGAAAACTGTACAAGACAGAGAGGATTAGAGACAGCCACACAGGAATAACCCCCAACAGGTCCCTGGATCGCCATCGTATCACTGGAGGGCAGGCTCACAGAAGGGTCTGTAGGCAATGTTTAGCTCAAGCCCAGTTGCCCACTAAAAAAAATACAGATAAAGAAGTCAAATCCCAATGGGATAATATATTTAAAAGCACTTGAAGGCAAACAAGGTATCAATTAAAAAAAAAAAAACAAATAAAAACTCTAATACCTGCTAGCCCCTCACAACACAGGCACTCTCTAGGGAAGCACATAAGAACGTGTTTTCTAAAATCACATCAGCATTTTTCAAAATGAATTTGTTCTGCCTCTGTTGAAAGCAATATATTTACTTGGACTTGCTAAATATTCTACTTTATTCTGGAAGAAAGGGGCAAGAATCAATAAGCTATTTGTTAGTTCCCTAAAGTTGGATTGAAACCAAGTTTGTAACTCACCAATTGCCCAACAAATTCAAACAGCTTTCCTAACTCATGACATTCTCACAATAACAGTATTATGTAGGTGGGAGCAATAATTTGATCCCATATTACACATAGAGAATCTAAGCATATAAAGGTTAAGTGATGTACCACGCTTACATAGCTAGTATATCACAAAGTTCAAACCTGGACCTAGTTCTCTGAGTCACGATCCAGTACTTTATGCTTGCTACTCTACTATCTTCCAGTCATCGCTAACCAAAGACAAATTACCATACTACAAAGTTAACACATGGCCAACATGTGGCAAACATGTGGCACATGTCTTACAAATACACATACATATGATTTCTTTTCAAGAATTGTTTCTAAAGAGGAGCCCTGGTGGTGCAGTGGTTAAGAGCTCGGCTGCTGACCAAAAGGCCAGCAGTTTGAATCCACCAGACACTCCTTGGAATCCCTATGGGGCAGTTCTACTCTACCCTATAGGGTCACTATGAGTCAGAATCCACTCAGTGGCAAAGGGTTTGGTTTTTGATTTCTAAAGAAAAATCACAAATTCCAACAGACTTACATAAAATGATGTTTTAAGTGCCCCAAATAGATGAATGATTAAATAAGGAAAAGTACGTTCATAAGAAAGGAATATCATCAAGCTGTGAACAAACATGCTTCAAGGAATGTTTAGTGCTATGGAAAAAGACTCATGATATAATATCAAATGAAAAATATTTACACTGCATATACTATGATTTCAATTTTGAAAAAAAGAATTGTATATGTTTCTAATACATAAAATATGTATAGAGAGAATACTAGAAATGTAAACTAGAAATGGCCCTAGAAATGGAATGATAGATGATTTAAATTTCTTCCTATACTTTTATGTATTATTCATTTTTTCTTCAAAAATAACTTAATAATTTGATAAAAAATTAATTTAGCTAGTTTAAATAGTTCTCGTCTTTGTGGTGACACATCAGAATGGGAGCTTGTGAGAAGGTATGGGTGCTAAAATCTGAAAAAAACATGGTAAAAAAGTGAAAAGCCACTGTAAACATACTGTATCCACTCAGAGACCATCCTTGCAGAGCCATCCCTAGCCAAACTAAGGAGCCACTTAAATTTTGCCTCAGAAAGTAGAAGCTTTCCACAGTCATCATTTCTGGATAAAAGACCAATTTTTTCAATTAATAGAGTTGGGCTATTTATAGTCTCATGGCATAACTCTTGGACTTTGCTGACCAACCCACAGTCCAACATTCACTTTCTTTGTCCCTTTGTCCTGATGTCAACTAGTAGCCCTTGGAAAATACTATTCATTTTGATGAAAACCTCAAGTTCTCATTAACCTCAATATTTTCCATAACACTCTTTTATGTCACTGAAGTTACCCAGATAGGTTTTCATTTTCTCTTGACACTTCTTGGATGTATATCATAGAATTTCAGGGTTGAAAGAAATTTGCATCTGATGCTTGCATCCCTTCTACCACCTCCTCAGTCTCTGTTTGATCAAATCCATGATAGAAAGTAGCCTCCTTCCGAGGTTACTCATTTCATCACTACAAGTTTCTCTAATAGAAAGTTATTCTCTATATTGAACTAAAATGTGTCTTGCTATAACTTTTATCCATTGCTCCTATTTTTGTACTTCACGGTTTAAATGGGACAAATTCATTTCCTCCATTAAGTGATCATTTGTTCCAGTCAACTCTTCTGTTCTCCAACTTAAATATCCCATTCCTTCTACTGAGTTCCATATTATAAGTCCCCTTTAAGTTACTGTCCCCCAAATTCATTACCTTTTGCCCATTTACTTATTAAATTATGAAAACTAGAACTTCTGTAGGGCTCTATATCTAACCTATGTAGAATCAAACAGGATCATCTTCTTCCTGTTTTAGAACATTGCTTCCATTTATACCTTCTAAAATCACATTATTGGTTAAGGTAATCATAGTGCTGGTTTAAATGTGTAATTTACTTTTCTCTGGCTGGAGTGGGATTGAAAGGACAAATTCACAAAACAAGTGGGACAATAACATACAACTAAATATTAGCAGTTCATTCTGACTCATAGCGACCCTATAGGACAGAGTAGAACTGCTCCATAGGGTTTCCAAGGAGTAACTGGTGGATTCAAACAGCCAACTTTTTGGTTAACAGCCGATCACTTAACCACTGCACCACCAGGGCTCCCTAACAATAGGTACTGATCCAAAAATCCCAACATTACCACTGCATACTTGAGGCTGGTATATGTGTACAATTGTAGACAGAAGGAAGTAGATGGAGTAAGCCTCTGAAGAGATTTGTAAATTATTTGCAAAACCTAACCTCTGTCTTTATATGACGTGGCTTTGTAGAACCCCTTGCTCTTACATTCTCATTCCTAAATCAAATCTTATCTCTTTTGTGGGAAAACATAGCTGTATTGCTATAAAAATAATGACGAATGTTTCTGATCCAAGGTTGAAGGCCAACTTATTCTTCAGCTTAACCCAGGCCTCATCATCTTTGCCTTTCCTCTAGAGGTTGAAACAATTTAGATCTCAGTTAAAGAACTACTGTCTGAGAGCTGGCCAAAACTTTCTCACTGCTATCGCTGGATGAGGCCACTGGGAGATGTTGGATAATCCAGGAGGGTCAGAAGCAAACCTTGGCACAATTATTAAAAAGTGCACGAGGGAACTGGAGCCCAGCAGTAAGAACAGCGTGCTCTGATTCACCACCCCTCCGAGATGGGCTGCCGAGGAAACAGTAGCCAGGGTTCAGAAAATATCTGCTACATCTTCTCCTTGAGAGACAGGAATATCATAGGTCCTTCCCAGATCAGGAAAGACTACAGTGCCCTTTACATCTGTGCGCCACCACCTTTTTAGGCTATTTAAGCAATGTAGTCACTGCATGAGCTCCAAATAATTGCCCTACTTGGTAAGGTTACCTTCAAACAATACCCCTCCTTTAGATGCCTCCTAAGAAGCTTGGATGTGAGCACTACTGTCCTTGACTTTGCTGCACACTTTCTACTGCTGACATGGGATGCTGAGGAGACAAAGGCTGACGTGCATAATCCAGGAGAGAGCAGCCTAAATTTGGAAATCTACCATTACCAAATTCTAGAATTCTCACACAAGAGCTTCAGGTAAGGTGCAGCTCAGACATCTTGTAAACCTTCTTCCCTTTCCTCTATCTCTGCATTTTATTTTCTCCATAAGAAAATGTAAATTGGAATAACTTCTTCATAATGACAGTTGGTTGGATTCTCAACTATAGAGCATAGCCTCTAGTATCAGCTATCCACGTTTTATTTATAAACATATGAGTTAAAATATTTAATAAAAATTAAAATATTTGCTTATGGGGAGATATTAATTGAACCACAAAATCATGATGGTCAGGAATAAATTTTGGAATGATAACATTATTCTATGCCTTATTACTTAGTTATTCAAGTCACATATTCCAGATTTCCTGACTCTGGGTATTGGGCGGAAAGTCAGAGGAAAAAGTTTTTCTGTGAAAGCACAGTGGCTAACCACAGAGGAAAAAAATATCAGTTGCAGACCACAAACATACTTTCTTTAAGAGAGATAAATCTAAAAGAGTTCGCTTATCTAATTATACAATAAAAGCAAAAAATTATAAAAACCCACTCAATAAAAAATAATAATTAAAAATATAGACAAATAGATGTGGAAAGACACCTGGAGAAAAGACAGCAAAGAAGAGTACAATACACACACAGAGAAAGAGAGAGAGAGATTGCTTATGGCTCACAGACAATGAGAAACTACAGTGGACGAAGGGGACACTAAGGAAGAAGTGATTCAGAGGGAGAGGAGGCTCTCCCTTGAGTTGTCTTGAGTTTGCTCCCATCATGGATATCCTGCTGTTTACTTGAACGGAGGCCATATTCCTGCAACAAATAAAATCCTTGTTGCATTGCTATTATTTTTAACAAACTAGAGATTCCAGTCTTTGCACCTTTTTTAAAATTTTTTGTCCTGAATACAAGCAATTGTTTTAACTGGTTACTATAAAGGCTTATTCATTTTTTTGAGACAATAAATATTTACTGAGCACCTATAATGTACCAGACACTGTCCTAGATTCTGAGAGTACATAGGTGAGCAATACGAAGTCCTCATCTTATATTTAGGTGGGTAAGACAGAAAACACATATTAAGTATATAATGCAATGATAGATAATGATAAGTACTTTGAAAAAAATAAAGCAAGATTGGGGATGGAGTTTAAAAAAGGAGGATTAAGTTACAGATAACTGTTGAGAAAGGCCTCTCTGAGTCTCTGAGCTTTCCCAGAACTCTGAATGAAGTAACAAACTAAGGCACATGAATATGGGGCAAGGAGGTGGAAGCATTTCAGGCCTTGCTATGGACCACACTTGACATAGTCAAGTATCACAGCACAGCTGGAGTGGGGAAAGTAGGATGAAGAGTGATAGAAAATAAGGGGAGGGAGGAAGGCCTGGCTGAGCTTGAAAGTTGCAGTAACCAATTTGGGTTTTATTTTAAGCATGTTTTAAAGATTGGGAGCAAATGCTAGACATGATCTGATTTTTTTTTTTTTTTTTTTTTTTTTTTTAAATATCAGTCTAGCTGCTATGTGGGTGTTAGTCTCTAAACATATAAAAATAAAAGCAGGTCCAGGGGAGAATTTCACCGAAGACTGGATAGTTGAGGGGATGGTAAAAACTGGTTAGAGTCTGAATATGCTTTGCACATGGGGTCTAAAGGATTTATTGATGATTTGGATATGAGATATTAAAAGAAGTGGTAATGATGTGGCCAAAGTCGTGGCCTGAGCAACTGAGTAAATGGAGGTCTCATTTATTGAGATGGAGAAGAAGTAGGAAGTGACAAGTTTAGAGTGAGAAGAATCAAAAGTTTAGTCTTGCCCAAGTTATATTTAAGTTGCCTGTTAAATATCAAATGGCGATGTTGAGTAAGAAGTTGGGTAGAAAAATTCACGATGCAGAAGTGACATCAAGGCTAGGACGTCTCAAAACCAAGACCAAACTCATTGCTGTCAAGTCGATTTCAACTCATAGTGACCCTAGAGGACAGATAGAACTGCCCCATAGGGTTTCCAAAGAGCGGCTGGTGGATTTAAACTGCCGACTTTAACCTGGTTAGCACCTGAGCTCTTAACCACTGTGCCGCTAGGGCTCTCATGTGGATGATACTACAGTCAAGAGGCTAAATGACAGGTCACTTACACAGAGTATAGCTGGAAAAGAGAAAAGATCCAAGAACCGGGTCCTCAAAAAATATTTGTAGTTCGGGTCAACCAGAAGGAATTCTAGCACAGGAGCGTCAGATAATGTACATAAAGAGTAATGAGAATGAAGTCAATGCACAGATCTTCAACTAATGTAATTCAGATTTCAGAGTGCTTTGAGTGATATAATGCTGTGATTATTTTTGCTCTATGTGGCAAAATGTAAATAGAATACCATTGCGAGGAACTTTCCTGGCTCCCAATAAACTCCAACTAAGGACCGAAGCCTGCACACTCGAAACCCAAACCAAATCTATTGCTGTCAAGTCAATTCCAACTCAGAGGGACACTATAGGACAGAGTAGGACTGCCCTGCAGGGTTTCCAAGGCTGTAAATCTTTATGGAAGCAGACTGCCGCATCTTTCTCCCGTGGAGAGACTGGTAGGTTCAAACCGCTGAGCTTCTGGTTAGCAGCCAAGCACTTTAACCACTGAGACACCAGGGCTGCACACTGTACTTAGGGTATATTCCAGTTAAAAGAGAATCATGTTAGTTTGTATTCTGTACCTCATTCATTCATGCCAGCTTTATTATATAATGTTTATTGAAAGTAACACTACATGAACTTACTCCTCTTTAGCAGTGAATTTTTAACCACAAAGAGGACCAAGTTAAAAGTAAGGAGATACTTTGGAAAGTTGTGTATATGATGTTAAACACTGAGAGAAAATAAAAATGCATAGCGTGGAATTTCTTTCACTGATATCTTCAAAAATAAGAGACACACAAATGTATAAACTGGCCTTGCTCTAAGCAGTCACTGATTAGAGGTCATTTTCCTTATCTCTTTTCTAACATTGCCAATTCTATATGGAGAGGAGCCCCATCTAAAACTATCCATGCGGTATTATTAAAGAGTACAGTAGTAGAAAAAGGAAACAAACAAAAAAAATCTTGCTTTGAGGCTATAAGTTCTTGCAATATTTTCTTCTTGATATTTACTCAGAGCTTGCACTGTACAGTTATTTAAAATCTCACATATCCTTATGTACATTTGGCTCAGGTTGATTTTTCTGAACTAGATTGCAAGCCCCTGAATGGCAAGAGAGCATCTGCCTTGTTTTATGCAGTGCTGGGGACACTAAACAAAGGAAGATATTTAAAGGGCAATGATGGCAATGATTGGAAATCCTGGTTGCATAGTGGTTAAGCCGTATGGCTGCTAGCCAAAAGGTCAGCAGTTCAATTCCACCAGGTGTTCCTTGGAAACCATATGGGGCAGTTCTACCCCCCATACAGGTCTGTATGAGTCAGAATCAACTCGACAGCAACAGGTTGGTTGGTTGGTTGGTTTGTTTTGGATGGCAATGATGGGCACAGTAAGGAGGTTGTAGTAAGTATCCACAGGTCCCTGGGTGACACAAACAGTTTGTGCTGGACTACAAACTTAAAAGTTAGTGGTTCAAACCTACCCAGCTGCACAGTGGGAGAAAGTCTTGATGATCTGCTCCCGTAAAAATTACAGCCAAGAAAACTCCATGGAGCAATTCTACTCTAATACATTGGCAACAGGTAATAAGTATCCACACCCACATGTTCCTCATGTCCTCCCAGTATCACACTGGGACAAAAAATGCTGAAAATAGTTGAGTGCTCTAAAACTATGCTACTAGTCGAGTTTTAATAAATTCAGAGAACATCTTAATGAGAGAAATTCTGTAGTCATTTGCAAAATGTCAATGTCCTGTCGTTGCAGTTTTGGAGGAGAAACATGAAAAAATCAGGAGGAAATAATCACTCTGACCGTGTGAGTGAATTTGTTCTTCTTGGATTCCCTTGTACCTCAGAGATTCAGATCTACCTCTTCACACTCTTCTCTGTGACCTATGTCTTAACATTGATTGGAAATCTGTGCATTATATGTGCTGTGAGGTGGGACCACCATCTCCATACCCCCATGTACATCTTTCTGGCCAATTTCTCCTTCCTGGAGATCTGGTATGTCACCTCCACAGTCCCCAATATGCTAGCCAACTTTCTCTCTGAGATGAAAACCATCTCTTTCTCTGGTTGCTTCCTCCAGTTCTACTTCTTCTTCTCCATGGGCACCACTGAGACCTTCTTCTTGTCTGTCATGGCCTTTGACAGGTACCTTGCCATCTGCAGGCCCCTGCACTACCCCTCTATCATGACAGTCCGAAGCTGCCTCAGAATGGGAGCCTGCTGCTGGTTGTGTGGCTTCACCTGTTTCCCGCTCCCAGTTTATCTCATCTCCCAGCTCCCTTTTTGTGGCCCCAATACTATTGAACACTTTCTATGTGACCCGGGGCCCCTTATGAAGCTGTCCTGTGTGCCAGCTTCTGCCACTGAGCTCATCACTGCCATCTTTAACTCGGTCCTCATTTTCTCCACCTTCCTCTTCATTACCAGCTCCTACACCCTAGTAATCAGAGCTGTGCTGAGGGTCCCCTCAGCAGAAGGCCGACGTAAGGCCTTCTCCACATGTGGCTCCCACCTGGCTGTGGTGTCTCTGTTTTATGGCTCCATCATGGTGATGTATGTGAGTCCAACAGCAGGCAATCCAGTTGGAATCCAGAAAATTGTGACTTTGTTTTATTCTGTGTTGACTCCACTTTTCAACCCCTTGATCTACAGTCTACGAAATAAGGAGATGAAGGACGCCCTGAGGAAACTATTTAGGACTTTGAGATTTGCTCAAAGACAGCCACTCAAGAACTAGAATTCATAATTTATGTATGTGTAGGACATATAGTGGTATAAAAATATAGACGGTCTTAAGTAAACTTGGGAGACAAATATCTGTTTCTATATTCCCTGGAATCTTTTTAGGGATGAATTTAAATGAAGCAAATAGCATATGAGATCTTAAAAGTACTTACATAAATCATTTTACCAAGCTTTAGTGTATTACTATAGTATCCCTTTGGGTATTGCACAGAAACAGGAAAATGCCAGACATTCTCAGGTATGTTCAAGATAAAACCATATATAACTCAGATGCTAACAGGTTCATTTTTATCCTTTGCTAATTTAGACAAATCCCCAGTTTCAGTCATTAGATGTCTCAAGTTTCCAGTACTGTACCTCTACACACATATACACAAACACACACGCCATAAAGATGTATCTGTGTGCTTCTCTCTTCCCACTCCTAACAACACCTACTTTGTTTTTTTGATCACATCAGTCCAGATAAAAGACCCAGCCCCTCCAACATTTTATTCAAAACAGCTCTCCCCTACAGATTTGTGTGGGCATATTAGCCTGACAACAGGTTGGAATCGTTCATAGAATAATTTTTAAAGTTATTAGAATCAATACGAAATATTTAGTGACCAGTTGCACAGTAACTACCCACTGCTGTCAAGTTGATTCTGACTCATAGCAACCCTATAGGACAAGATAGAGCTGCCCTATAGGGCATTCAAGGATGTAAGTCTTTATGGAAGCAGACTGCCACATCTTTCTCCCTCAGAGCAGCTGGTGGGTTCAAACTGCCAACCTTTTGGTTAGCAACCGAATGCTTAATCACTGCGCCACCGGGGCTGTAATCAATACTACACATATAACTTCATCATAGTGATAGAGTTTGCAACACATAAGGGATCACATCAAACGACACAATGATACAATACTGGGAATCATGACCCAGTCGAGCCGACAGACATTTGGGGGGGACACAATTCAATCCATGACTGGCACCTAACAACAACAACAATGCCGAGTGTAATTTTTATTTGGAAAAGACATACAAAATTACTTCCAAATTTATTTTATAATTAGGAAAATACAGGAAGGAAGTACATCAAACTCCATAGCTGCAATCTCTGGGTTGTGAGTTTATGGGTGATTTTTTCTGCTTCTTTATGTGTTTTTGCTAATTTACTGATTAGCTTTTTTTTATGAAAACAAAATATTTTAAAATTTTTTACTCAAAAATCTCAACTTGACAGTTATGCAGAAGACTGTTTTTTTGTTTCTAATTCTGCTCTCTGAAATAGTGAGAGATCTTGCTTCAGGAACTGAAGACGGGTCAGCAGTAACAACTTCTATCTGAAGTCCACGTGCTACTTCACAGAATTCAGCAGCAAAATCTGGAAAGAATAAGGGTGATAGACCCTATTCCCAAAATTAACATTTGTTCAGAACCAGTGTGCAGAACACATATCTAACCCTTCAAGAAAAGAAAATCATACTTCTATATATATATATATGTATATATATGCATACTTACGTACATATATACATACACAGATAAACTTGTTATATCTTGCATTCCCTATAAATGGTCTTGGAAAATATTCTTGTTACTTTGAGCTCATTTAGGGCACAGGTTCTGTGTCACTGCAGCATGTCTTGTTTGGGGGACCTTGCTTGTGTCCTCTCACGTAGAGAAAGTATAATAGGAATTCCAACTTCCTACTTTCTGCTCTCCCCTCAGACCTGTTCTCCTTTATATCATCTTCATTTCTCATACCCATCTCAATCCTTCAAGCTCTGTCGTCAGAAAATCTTCCCTGGAGAAAGATCTTAAATTGTAAATAAATTAAATACACACCTATAGAGAAATGGTTAAGAATACTGTGATATAGATACATGATAAACTTTAGCAGTATTAAAATAAGCACTTCTAAAGATTGTCCTGAAATACAATTAAAGACTTAAGATAAGCTGTTAAGTAATAAAAATAGACTTCAAAATATAGTTATATTACAATTAATAGGTTGGAATGAAATGGGGAGAATATAGCTAGGTATTAATGATGATTTGATTTATATGGACTAGTGGTGTGTAGTGGTTAGGTTAAGAGCTTGGCTGCTCGCCAAAAGGTCGGCAGTTTGAATCCACCAGCCACTCCTTGGAAACCCTATGGGGCAGTTCTACTCTGTGCTCAACAGCAATGGGTTTGTTTTTTTGGTTTAGTGGTGCCATTAGTAATTTTTTTTCTATGCTTTTCCATATTTGTCAATTTTTATTAGTTTTATTATCTAAAATAATTATTTAAATTGTGTATAAGTTTGTGGAATTAGTGTAAATGTCTAATAAATTGAAGAGAAAATGCCCTTCGGTGACATGCAACTCAGCATGATTAAAAACTTTATGTAAGTTCAAAAAAGAGTGTTAACCACTTCTGGACGAGTGTGCATTAAAAGAGGCATTTTGGGAAAATAGGCTGATAAGTCTCAGGCCTTAGAAGTTATCCCCTTGAGACAGTCTCTTTCTCACCTTATAAGTATCAGCCCTGTGTGTGAGACAGAGACCAAATATATGTATTTCAACAAGCTGAATTTCCTCAACAATGTGTCTTTAGCTTTCCATGTCACCTTCCAGGCCTCCCAATCTTCATGCCCAGGATTCTTTCCTGATTTTCCTCTGGAATTATATTTCATAACATAAATGTGCTTTCGATTTTCTTTAAGACCTTAAGCACAAATAATCGATCTTCTTTTTTATAAATTTTATTTATTTTGTTGTTGTCGTTGTTGAGAATATACACAGCAAAACATGCACCAATTCAACAATCTCTACATGTACATTTTAGTGACATTGATTAATCTTTGAGTCGTTCAACAATTCTCACCCTCTTTTCTGAGTTGTTCCTCCCCATTAACATAAACTCACTGCCCCCTAAGATTCCTGTATAATCTTTTGAGTTGCTGCTATCAGTTTGATCCCATACTGATAGTTCCTAAAAGAGCATAATGCTCAAGGCAGAGCTTTTTTATTGGTTAAGCTAAACTACTGCTCGGTTTTAAGATGGCTTCAGGGGATATTTTTGGTTTAAGGTTTAAAGATTATCTCAGGGCAATAGTTTCAGGGATTCATCCAGCCTCCATTGCTTCAGAAAGTCTAGAGTCCCTAAAAATTTTTAAATTCTGTTGTGTATTTTCCCCCTTTTGATCAAAGATTCTTCTGTGGAATCTTTGATCAAAATGTTCAGTAATGGTAGCTGGGCACCATCCAATTCTTCCGGCCTCATTGCAAAGGAGACAGTTGGTTGTGGAGGAAATTAGCCACACATTCCAGATTCTCCTCCTATTTCTGATACTCTTTCTTCCTCTGTTGCTCAGTGTGAGTAGAGACCAATTGATCTGCCCTGGATGGTTGCTTGCAAGCTTTTAAGACACCAGGCACTATGCAACAAACTAGAAGGTAGAACAGAAGCACTAAGCATGTTATTAGGCCAGTTAACTGGGATGTCCCTTGAAACTATGACCGTAAACCTCCAAACCAAGGAAACAAATCCCATGAAGTATTTTGTTGTACATAAGCAACCTCAGCTGCTACTCTTTTTTGTTGTTGTTGTTGTTGTAAATATATCACACAACTTT